GTAAGACAGTGAGATACAGTTAGAAAAACACACTCCAAGTTAACAATAAACAGGGCATCAGCCTTGCACTCCAACAGTGTCTTGCACTATCTTGGGGAAGATGCCTGTAAAGGAAATACTTGGGGCTACACAGTGGGTTGAAAACCAGATGAAATCTGGCTACAAAGTAGCTTTGCCCTATTATGGAAAGATTCACCATGTTTCTGTAATTGCAGATGTTCTAATAATAATTTTAACTAACAAGTAAATAGACATAAAGACTAAAATTATGCAAGAAATTCAGGTTTAATTATAAACTCTGAATAGTATTTTAGACAAGTCTCCACATCAAGACTGTTCTTTTAAATGCCTATTGTGTGTAGTGTAGAAGCAAAATGAGCATGTGGGCACTTTGAAACTGAGGTTAAAAGGAGTCTACCAATACATTAAGGGGTAAAATAAAGCAAAAATTGCTTTTATTTTACAACACTTAACTGAACAAAAGGGAAATACAGTGCCCATATAGATATATGACATAGCCTAGAGAGCAGACACAATAAAATGAAGTGATGAAATACATAAAAGAAACACTCTATCATAATTACCCTTTAAGAACACCTGAGAATAAAGAGATGAGCATGTATCCAGCAGATCACCAATTACTATTTTTATGAACAGTAAGTACAGTTTATAAGCTTGCTTCTCACACTGTCTCTTCAACATACATTCTGTACAGCTGTGTTAAAATGACATTTCAGTTGCAAAAACTATATAGGTGTCAAATTCTTCCTTCACCAGCAATTTGTGCTGCAGCCTCAGATTCTCATAGCTGCTCAGTTAACACTGTATATGTGAGCACACAAACACTCAGCCTTTGATGCCATTGACATTTAACAGTCTATGTAAACTCAGTGTGCTTACATTTCTGTCTCAGAAAACTACTGCTAAGGTTTTTTTTTTCCCCAGTAGTTATGTCTAGTTCCCAGTATGTGTATTGGTGTCTCTTCTTTTTCTGTTCCTTTATACACAAGCTAGTACTGCTTATCTGTAGAAAACCAGGCTACAGTAAGCCACATTAAGACTACGCTTTATAAGGTAACTTATAAACCTTCACAGTTATTACCAAGAACTGGATGGTTGACAAAAAGTGGATCATGGATTTTAATGCAAAATCATATGCTTCCTGGACAACATTTTGAATGGGAAGTATTAAAAAAAAAGACACCTAGAAATGAAAAATGAGTGATATGGAATTCATACACCTGTTTTACAATATAAAGTATGGGGGAAAAATAAAAACAAGATTGCAAATGAATTTTTGAATTTAAAAAAAAAAACAGACCAACATTAAAAAAAAACATTTAGAAGATCCCTAACAGCAGTGGAAGCATGTTCATTATGATTACAGATATAACAAAGCTTTTAAATACACAAAAGGTTGAAATAAAATCTTGCATGCTACAACTCAAGGTCTCTAATGACACTGTCACTTGGAACTACCTCCTAGTATCCTGGTTTTGCTCGTTTATTCTTACACAATCCCTATTTCTTAATATCAGGGTTTTTAAACCATGCCCCAAAGAAATCTTCTCTGTCACAGACAAAGGAAGAGTCACCACTGTCTGTCCAGAAAACAAGTTTCTATTGTCATAATAAAGGTATTACAATGATGAGTCTCTAATAGAAGAGCAACTACATTACTGTCTCACAATCACTCCTGAGTTCTTTTTCTGGAAATCTTGAGGTTTAAAATAGACATTTTCGAGAGTACTTAGAAAATGAATCACTGATCAGACTTTTAGGTGAAGTCGCAAAAAGTCTTGCAGGGTTAGCCAAATATTCCTGTGGATTATGCCATCCTTGTCACTGAACACTCTCTCTCCCTTGGCTTGAAGCCTTTTTGAAGGGATCCCTAACATTCCTTGCCCTTACAGCACTTCCAGTCTCAGTCTAAGAGGACTCACTTTTCCTTAGGTCCACAAGTATTCACATACAATTCATTTGAGATTACCTTTGCTATAAGTAGGTGTCTGATAGCAACTTTTTCCTGACCATTAAAGAAAGAGTGAGATATTAATATTCATACACAAATCTAATTTTAAATACAACAGTTACTGATGTGAAAAGCTTTACTCTACAAAAATGGTTTGAACATTCAGGTGAACATCCATTGAAGAGACATCTTAATATTTTATTTCCTAGGTTTCTCTCTCTAGATGAAAATTACTGATGAGAACTGATCAGAAAATATACCTGCAGAGTTTGATCTCTAGAGCAGCTCCACATGATTTGCCCTCAGAACTGCTGCAGATTAAGAAAAAAGTAATTGAGCTAAGGTCTAAGTTTTGAACTACACGGCAGGGAAGTTCGCCTTGTATGTGTTGATGATCTCACTCTTGAAAAAAAAGAAATGGAAATTAATGTAATCATCTTTCTTTTTGCTCAATCAATCAGCACGTTACTGAGTTACCTTGACAGAATAGCTCAACTTTTAACAATAATATAGGGGAGAAAAGCTAAAAGTTCCTGATAGGATGAGCAATATAGCATATGTATATTCTAGCAAGAATTCTCATTTTTTAATCTCCTGAAATGAGATTTTCATGCACATTCCTCTCCCTTTGAAAGTTCAGTTATAAGACAGGTATCAGACTGAAGATGGTTCCTTCCTTTCTCTTCCTCGGAAACAGGTAATTTCCAGCTACTGTTTCTGTTCAGCTGTTTGTGTACCTGTGCTTCAGCAGTCTACATGAAAAACTGCTTCCTTAAAAATAAATAAATTATGTTTTAAATAATTATTATTTTTTATATTCAAAAAGTGTTTGATTTTTCCTTCTAGTAGACCATCACAGAGCTACTGAATACTGTAGCCAAACAGTTGAAATAACACAAATGGAGAGAAAAGCTCCTCAATCAGTTCTGCCACTGGAGAGACAAGTCATCATACAGGACAATAACTTGCAGGTTTGTGAGGAGGACTTCCCATCTTCATTGTAAATTTAAGACTTCAAGTTCATTTCTGCTCTCTACATAAGTTTGGACAAACTCCAAAGTAACAGAGCTTCTGGACAAAAGTTTGCTACATTTGAGAGCCTAATTAACCTCCTATATTGATAATTAAGCTTGAGAACAGAAATAAAACTGAAAAGTACTAAGCTAGTTCAGATTCAGTTTCAGTGGGATATACTGCCCACAAGCACATCTGAAATAAGGTCCATTTCTATTCAAAAGTTTAAACATAGCTTTAAGCAGATTTGAGTCCTAAAAATATCAGATACTTACATTTTAGATTTCATCATTGTTTTACTTATCATTCTGCCTCTACAGATTATATGTAGTTTTTTTCAGCTGTAAGCAAGAAATATTGCAATGCTATACGCTAATTAACTATCCTAATAAGACCATCTACTATCAAAGAGATACAGTATACTTCTTTAAAATTGATATTTGGGTGCATCTTTCTATCTTGGTGCCATAGGATATAGTTCAAGATACTCAAAGTTAACGGATAAGTATGACTGTGCCATAATCTTCCAAAAACCATTGATTTCTTCTATTATTTTTTACTTCTTTCTACCTGAAGTGATTCTAATCAAATATTTCCTCATTATTTCACATATATTTCTAGCACCACAAAATCCTACTTACAAGCTAGTTCAGAGGGGCAAAGAGCAAAAATACATTGAGAAGTAAGCATCCTCACCATTGTCCTCATTGTTTTTGAACAGAGCTCCCATTCTAGAGTAAATGCAAGCCAGAGAACCTTCCAATAAATCGTTCCCTGCAGAAGTCATTCTGGTAGGCCATCAGGGAAGAGCAAGATAATTATCTATTTATTGGTTCAAGAATGGAGCAGGTACTCCTGCTTGACATTCAGTGCTTGACATTCAGTGCTTCACATAAAATATGACCAAGCCATTTCACAGTCTTTGAATATGATGATAAGGTGTTCACAGCACACAATTTGTTCTGTGTTTACTTGCCAGATTTTTCATTGCCAGGATGCATAGGAGTCCCTGACCACCTAATATTTGACATGCTGCAATTATTTACCTTCTTCCATGTATACAGGCAAAACCGAAGAATAAGGCTGAATGACCACCTTTCAAACTCAGGAGCTTTTCTTCCAAAAATACAAAACATATATGCTGTGCATTCATTCAATTCTTATATGAACATTGCACATTGCAAAAAAGAAAAAGACATTGCTTTGAAGAGATTATTTTGAGAGCTGTAAGTACAGTAAGATAGTAACTGGTCCTCCATTTCCAAGCCGTGTTAAGAAAAAAATCACCCCTATTTACAAAAAGGAATAATATGCTGAATTCAAACTTGAAAGTTCCGCAAGCAGCCACAGTTACCCATAACCCCCCAGAGCTACATAAACCAGGTTGCTTTCTAAATCTGAATGTGTTGCTGCAGAACTGAGGAATGACCTGGAGTTAAGACCACAATAACTCACCAACCATAGGTTTCACTAGGTTCACTATTGTCACACTGTCACACTCTTTCAGTTTCTCCTGCCTTTACACATGCAGTACAGCTACACGCAACTTCTTCAAAATTATACTTCAGGGTTCAGGACTGTTGGTAACTCAATGAAAGAAAAGTAACCACTGAAGAGATGATGAATTTCAAATAAATATACTGTTATTATACAATGGCTTTCATTAACTCCGCATTATGAAGCTCCATATATTCAACTGCCTCTTGAAACAACAACTCAAGAACTTCCTTGACAATTGCTTCGCTTCATACTTATTTTTCCCTAAGATAGCTATTTTACCACTGAAGATCTACCAGCATTTTGTGATAGACAACACAGAGCATAATATTGCTTGTAGGTTTGTTCTTCTCTTGATGAGACACAAAAGAGTAAAACAGAGTTATACTGAAAACAGAACTAAATCAGAATCAAAACAACTTATCTCAGTGGTATTTATTGTCTTTTTCAAAAGCTAGTATTGATGCCAAGATCAGCATAAAGTCCAGATAAAAATCTTTGTTAGCAAGTCACTTACCATATTTATTGACGATACAGGACCAATGCTGTTGACGTAAATGTCAACATCAATAACTGTTGGTTTTACTGTGGAGAAACAAAAAATAATATTATTTTGCAGACAACATAAGTAATCACTTTAAATACTTTCTTCCCCAAAAAACAAAAGGTGGAGTTTTTTTAGATACAACTACTGAGAAATACGGATTATGTATTTTTCAGGAAGACAAAGTTCTTTTCCTCTACCCGACAACAAAAAAATGACATAAATTAAAACTTGTACCACTTTATCATCATGATCCCCATTTATCTCAGCAGCAATTTGCTAAAGAACCTTTCAGTGCTAAGCACAGTAGCTCAAAGTCAAAACCTAAGATGACTGACATGAAACTAGAAATAATGCAGCACATTCCTTTTTCCCTTTGTCTCAACACACAGGTCCTTTAGCCTGTTTGTTCCACATTAAAAAAATCTTTCCAGACTTTTGCATCTCATCTCTCAGCCCTGAAATCCTCCTAACTTAGAGTAAAATCTCTATGAAATCTGAGTAGCTAAACCTAAGCAACTCTTCTCCTTTCAATTTAGACTCATTCCCTTCAGTCCACATTGCCTTTGCACTCACTCATCCAAAGGCTTTTGAATTTGATTTCGTTTAGTCAATGCACATTTCTCACAAGGTCTTCTATGTTTTCAGACTTCCAGTATTTAATAAGCCAAGACAAGCTCTGTACCTTTTTATTTTGCTGAGGCCACTAGGATTTATCTTTCTTTTAGCATCTTTGGTGTCAGGGTACCTCCTGAACATTATTCAGATACCTGTTAGCGGTGACATAACCTAACACTAAAATAATGCCACTCTTACATTGAAAGGCACGTTCATTTTTTTACTTATGCTGCCCTTCTTCCAACCCCAAAGAGTACACATTAGGCTCTAAATTGAGATCTAATTTGGAGATTTACTTTCTCCAGGGTTAGGTGACTCAAAACTAAGTATAAGGTATAAATGTTGTTCCAACCTGCATAGTCAGAATTGATGCAAACTTGGCCCTAGTAGGCCAACAGCTACTGTCAGACACCTGTCTTTTCCATAAAAGCACCTATTCCTCTCCATAGTTTTCAAAAATCTCCAGAGAGAATTCAAACTGCTGAAGTTTGGGAACTATGTTGAACTTGGACTTTTTGCACCTAACCCCCAAGACCCCTAGAATGAGGAAAAGCATGTACATCACTCAAAACTCAGAAGGCTTTCCTCTGGGAAAGCACTGAGCAGGGAAGTGAGGAACAGTTAAATTCTGTGGTTTTGTTGGAAGTTTATCTCTGGTAAGTAACAGTCAATTTGTCTAAAGCCATCCAGCACAAAAGCTAAAGACAGACAAGAATGTTCACATGTAAAGTTAAGTATATTTTGCTTGCATCTCCTGAATTTCAGACTAACAATGAGATGCTAAGTAGTTTTAAAGTACTTGAAAAGTTAAATGGTTCTAAAAATAGTGGGCATGCTGGTTTGTCATGTAAGACTTTGGTGTGTACGAATCATTAAGAAGACTATATCCCATGCTGCAAAAAACATACATTAAACTGGGTACAAACAGTGGTTAAAGATTATAACAATTCTCTCTATTTTATTAACTAACACATACTTCTTTGATTGCATATGATCAGAACATCCAGGATTATTTAAGGTTGTGGTTTCAAACTGTCTGAAGTACTGGTTGATAAACTCAGATCTCCCCTGCAGCAAAAGGAAATTTGAACTCAGCTGAACAAGCTCAGCTGATTAAAGCAACTCTAATTGTTCCCAGCTAATAACTAAATAGGAGTCTAGTGGATTCTGGTAATGAGACTTGCCTCAAAATGCAGTAATAAATGTCATTACATAGGAATTGGTAATAGCGGGGAACTACAGCTAGCTCTTTCACAGAGATAGAATACATGGAATAAAGAGCTCTAATCTTTTTAGGGTTTATGCACCTATCTAGCTGGAAGTTAAAAGCTAAGGAGTTCTGGTGAATGTTAATGGCACTAGACTTAGTGATGCAAATTGGCATGCACTTGAATCTTGGCAGGACCATGGACAAAATTCAGGACCAGAACACAGTGCTTGGAATCTGTTTTTGTTTAATCATTGCAGTTAAGTACATAAATAGATTATGAGATGATAATTTTTCCTTAATATGCCAGGCCAAATTCTCTTATTGTGCAAAAAAAAATAAAATAAAGCACTGCTTGTTAATGCCAAAGAGAATTTGATCTTACTCACAGTAAAGGTCTAATCTTGAAACAGAAGAAAACTAATAAACAGTCACTTCTGTCAAATTAAATCAGTGCCTAGCCTCAGACATTCATGGGGAAATTCAAATTGAAAGTAAATTAAAAAATAAATACAGGTAAACTATCATACTATTACAACAACAACAACAAAAACAACAAAAAGACTGAAAGTTTCTTTGAATTATTTTATTTTGTTTTCCTAGGTAGAGGTCAAAAATAGAAGTGTAATTTGATTGTATGGTAAATACGTGTTCAGGTTTTGAAAGAAAATACAAAAGAGTATAGTTCTTGTTGCATGTGGTCTTTCATGGATATAAACAGATATAAACTGGGAGGATCATCAGGTATAAATATTAGATTTGTTATCATCAGATTTTAATTCAAAATACTAACCATAATGAGGCAAAGATTTCAAGATTACTTCCTCCTAAATGCATTATAACAAAGAAAATAACTGACTCTTAAAGTTATCGTTTCTTCTTAGAAAAAAACTCACCCTCTAACAATCTTCAAAATAAACTGAGTTTCATGGAAAGACATAAATAGCTACATTACCAGGGAGACTGGACCAGACGACCTACTGTGTTCCCTTCCAACCTCACCCCTTCTATGATTCTGCAATTTCAACACCTGCTCAGTTTTTCTGTATCCTACATGAATTTGTGACTGCTCAGTTCATGAAGGAATTCAAGTCACACATGGAGTTGTTGAGCTGCAGATGGAGCCTTTTTTCTTGCACTAGAAAAATCCTCACAGTCTTGTTGATTGAAAAACAACAGTGTTAATACCTCGGTAAAAGTTGGCAATAAGATCACAAATAGATACTCAGCTCCAGTACCATTTTGATACTGGCATACGCCAAAGATAGTTCTAAAGAGCTGTCAGAAACTTAGAAAAAGTACTGGCTGAACCATGTATATACAACATGCAGGAAAGCAATTAAAAGTTGTTAACAAACGTACTAACTTTCTCAAAGTTCTCTGAAATAGTCTTTAATATAAGGCAGTAACTTTCCCTAAAAGACAATATAAACATGTCCAAGTAACTGCAGTGCTATGCTGCTACACAGTGCTATCTAAGGTAAGCTAACTGCTTATAACTGTCATCCAATCTTTAAACATGTTGATTTTGATTGAGGAGTGGAGTTGTAAAGCCAATCAAAATATCTGCCAAAAAAACTAAGGTCATCTGATCCAAATGTCCTGGCTTTGAGAGAGGCAGTGTTAATATACCAGTTAGCCTTGGAAGCTTCACATTGCAAAGGCACTACTGAATGAAAGTTGCCTACAAACTTTAGACAGTTCAAAACACACTTGGCCACAGAAGTCAGGAGTTCAACACTGCTTGCAAAGCTCACATAAGAAGACAGGTGAACACCTAGACAGTTAGGGTAAAGCAAGGTCAGTTATGTCTGGATACCAAGACACAGAAATGCCTAGAATAATGCTCTGATCATAAATACACATGCAAGAAAACTGTAGGATTTGTTTAGTCCTGCTTTATAGATTTACACTGGTGAAATAAACAGTACCTGAGCTTGAATCTCATTAAATTCCATGAAGACTTTGCTCTTGGACATACGTAAGTTGATCATGTATGTAAAAAACTTGACAGATAAATCAGGAGAATTTTAAAAGACTCCTGAGAAAATCAAAAAAGGGATTGTTATACAATTTCATGTCATGTAGGGAAAAAATGTGCAATAAGTTCGGTCATTTTATTATGCTTATTTAGTACTCTAAATTAACATGTCCTTTTAAAATATCTTTTAATTTTTGATAGATCTTCACTATTCAGAATTGATGCTTATTTAATGAATGAAACCACTTTGCTTCCTTCAGAAAGCTTCCTCCACATTTGAAGTCTGTCCAAATAACATTCATGTTCCTGCACAAGTCATAAATATTCAGAAATATTTTTAAAATTTTAATATTGAGAAATATTTTTTAGAAGCTCAATTAAACAGAGTAGATCAAACTGAGCTCTCATAAATTTTAAAATAAAATGAAAATTATGTTTTGTTGAGAGTTAACCTTTCTTACACTGTTCAACCAACTCCCAGGTTTATACCGGTTTTATGCAAAACAGCAGTAGTAAAAACGTTATGGATCAATACACACATATTTATAGAAGCAAAGCAATTAGCACTAGATTTTTTAGAAGGCACACAACCACATAGCAAACACAGTATCATCTCTCTTTCAGAACTACACAGCCACTTAAACTCTGCCCAAGTTCCACAAGACTTCTGAATGCAAAGGACTAACAAGATTGGTTCTATGGTAATGAGATATTTTTTGAAATTACTCTATAATGATATTTTACATTATCTCATTAGCACATAAATTGCTAACTTTAAATTGGGATAAAGCTGTAATAAATCGTTACACAGTTATCAGTAACTGTAGTAATAGTGACTGTAGTGTTAATTTTTACTTTGCATTAGTGATTATGACTATTAAAATTTTCCTACATGTCCTTATAGGCGAGATCTATTTACCTAGTTATTCATGTAAAACAAACTGCTATACTAACAACTCACTTCTCAAGGCTAACTGTTGTCAGCTGAAACACCTCTATTTTACAACAGATTACCACATCTGAAGAAAGACATGGTAACAAGAAGTGTTGAGTCACCATCCCTGGAGTATTTAAAAGATGTGTAGATGTGGCACTTAAGGACATAGTTTAGTGGTGGACTTAGGAGTGTTAGGTTAATGTTCAGACTCAAAGATCTTAAGAGTCTTTTCCAACCTAAATGATTCTATGATTCTATTCTATGATGCTATGAAGATATCAGTGAGGAAAATTAAAAA